AAAAAATTCATAAGGTTTGAGCAACATTACGTCAATTTACAACAACTGAACTATGCAACAAATGATTTGTAAACAGTTATGTAAGCAAACTTGTAATAACTATCCTTTCTAAAAATAACTTACTTTAATGCTTGAAAAATATAAACTAAATAATACCATCGTATTAATCTTAAAATGCACAGTCATGTATATCATGTATAATTAACAGTAAATAAAATGAAAGGAAAATAGAATACTAAAATTAAACTATTAGTGAAAAAGTACAGATGGGAAATTATGTATATGACCCAAAGAAGATATTTTAAGACTACTCTATGAAGGTAAGTACATAATTGCATTTTAAACATTTGCACTGTATGTTAACTATAATAGCTAGAGTTAGTGATATGGTAAAAAAAAAGGAAAATAAAATAAACATTTACCTTAAAACAACATTTCATATTTATTTTGGAGGTTCTAGAGATTATGCAAATGAAATGTGAAAACTGTAAAATAATAAATAGTATTTTTATACTCCAACTAAAAATCACCTTGCTGGTGAATTATTCAGAGTCTGAGTGCAAATAATTACATTGACTCTCTCTCCACGGGTTCAGTCGAATTGACCAACCACATAACCACTTTGTACTCGTTTAAAGTTGTTATAGTTTTGATGCTACCAACATTTAATATAGTAGGTGTATCTTCACAAAATTTGGCAGACTTTCAGTAAACATTACAAGTTTTTCACATACAAATAATCAGATTTTTTTAGTGAAGTATTTTTAATAAACTAAAAAAAAAAGATTTATCCATGAATATAGCCTTTTTTTTACTAGTCCAAGTGCAACGTGATTTTCATGTTAAGATCAAAAATACTTTTCTTTATCTCAAAAATCTCAATTTCATTTGCATAATCTCCAAAACCTCCTAAATACATTTCAAACATTTTATACATGGTTGGTAAATTTGACTGACCTTGTAACCACCAAAAAAAAAATCAAAATAAATCTAAATTACCCTATTATAATTTTTGATAACGTATACAAATCTTTACAAAAATTTGGCAGATTATTAATAAGCATTAGAAGGCTTTCATACACAAAATATGTTTTTAAATCAAGTATTAAACTTTTTTTATTAAAGATTCGCTCATGATTTTTTCTTTCAGAATGTTGACTATCCAACATGCAAAGTAATTTTAATTTTAAGATTAAAAATACATTTCTTTATCTTAAAATCATCAAGTTTCATTTGCATAATCTCTGTATCCTTTAAGGTAATCATCAAACATTTTTTTAAATAAAATTTTCTACTTAATCTGTTATTTTATCAATGCTAACTCAATATGGCATTGGTCGATTTGACTGATCTCAAAACCATCAGAAAAATTAGGAAATAAATCTAAATTCCTTTTTTTTTGGTTTTAGAATAACTGAAAATTGTAACAGGAAACAACAAATGTTTATTTTAAATAGCTTAAATCTCATACAAGTATACATCTATTTATATTTACTTATTTTTGTTTTACTGACCTTTGAACCATGTCTGACTAAGAATACCCCGACACAAGTTGAAAATTACTGGGGCACGTGACAACCCCATGAAGATTTTTATTATTTTTCTTTCATTATCATTAATGAAAACAAATGAAAAATAAAAAAACACTGTAATTAAATATTAAACATTTTTAATTTTACTTTCAGTAAAGCTTTGTATTTCATCCATTATTTTCTTTATTGAAACATTATACTTGATTCTCCAGGTTGTAGGAAAGTAATCAAGGTACAAGGAAAATAAAATATGTAGTATTGTTAGTACTGATCAAAAATATTTCAAAATACTTATGTTCAGATTTACACTTCTCACCTTTTCACACATATTTTCTGTAATTATTTTATTTCAAGCAGATGTCCTATGTTTATTCTACTGTTAGTGACTGAAGTAGAAACCTGTTGAATACAAAGTAATGAATCGCCATTCCTGTTTAGGTGTTACCATACTTTGAATACTCTGACACCATCCATATCAAATAAGCTTTTGCAGAACAATTCCCAGAACTTTCCTTACTTTGAAAACACAGTGAGGTAGGATTTATCAACTTGTTGACAGAATAATGGTTACAATGAAAATTGTCTAAAGTATTATAAAATGCTTATGCTATGGTTTTGTTGAATGTCTGGGCCGATCCAAAAAACTTTGTAGGTATTTGAGTGTTGGATGATAAGCGGATGTTTCCTACAGAGTCTATTCAAATCCCAATTTTGAAAACCCAGTGGGGTAGGATTTATCGGCTTGTTTATAAAGTACAGCAGTTACAATAAGAATTATCTAAATAAAGTACTATATGAAAGTGAGAGAAAATATTCAAAATATGGCTCTGTACAAAGTTGTATTCAATCCAATAAACTTGGGTGGTGGGGATTTAGTGGTAATATAGGTGTGAAAGTGCTTATGAACATCCTGTTTCCTATTTTACCAGGCTTACACAGTAACCAATACGTGCATAGTTTCCAATATTTTGTAATGTAAAGTGAGGTTTTGGTTACCATACATATATATATATATTATTACTATTTACATATAAATATTTAAATTTCAGTTATTTTTCTTAAAACATAGAACAGTAAATAAAAATGTTCAGAAAACAATGATCTCCACTACTAACGATGTTTTTTAAGTTTTTTTTTGCACTCGTGAGTTGTACTTCCTAACCCTCTTCATAAGCCTTGTCCAAATTCACATGTCAATGTAGAAAAAATAATTTTTGTAGACTTTATATATACATTTTTGAATACCAAAAATTGATAAATAACTATACCAATACCACAAAAACCTATTGTAATTTACCAGGCTTCCTAACTATGCTGTATTTGAGTCTCAAAAAATCTAATTTCTATTTGGAAAATAGCAGCGATCATAATACCTCAAATTCTCCAACAATATAAGTTTTCTCTTGTAAATAACTTAGAAAGACTAACAGAATTATGTATAAGAAATGTAAAGCTTTTGATTGTTTAATAACTTATGCTATAAAAAAGCAGGCATAGATAAACAAGTCTTCTCAAATGATGAAGTGGTTTTTTGGAACCAATATGGTGGATTCAATAAATATTATGATACCTTAGCAAATGGAAAAGGGAGGAGGTTCTTATTTTATATTTTCACTTGACAATATCAAAATTTTGAGTTTATAATTCATATGAAACTACAGACATTGTACTGAGGACATCATAAAATGCAATCTGACCAAACCCAGAAGATGGCATACCAGTGTGACACACAAAAATCAATATTTAGCTTCTTTTTTTATACTTACTTTCAAATTAAGATATTAACTAATATATAATACTAAAATTTGAATTATATCTACAATTTGACATCAAGTTTATTGACATACATCCTTAAAATAGTAGTTCAATAAAATTTTGAATGCAAGTCTATAAACATGATGACATGCCCTCTTACCCCTAGCTACCTGTAATGATAGTGTTAATCAAATAATGCACAAAAAAATAATTTGCAAAAACCAAACAACTTCCCCTAACTATCAGAATTTTCCTGTCATTTTAACTATGGGGCAAGAGCCACTAGAAATTCACCCAAGCTAGTCAATATGTTTCCCATGGGAATGAAGCTTGTACTAAAAGAGAAATTGACAATTCTCTGTTTTGAAAACAAGATAATATAATATGTCATTTAATAGATGAAAACTTAGGCTTTCTATTGGTTATAAATAATACAGAATTAAACATAAAAGAGAACTATTAACAAATCTTGAAAGAAAAGATGTGATGGATGGGTGTGGCAAGAAGGATCTGATTTTCTATTTTATGGCTCTGTATCCAAACAAGATTGAAGACTATAAAAATAATGTTTTTTCTGAGCGATGATGATTTTGTAGCCTAGAGAATAAAATGTCCCATTTCTCACAGTAGGGGAAATTCAGAATTTGTTTTAGTATTGCCTTATAAAATTAAGAACTTATATATTATTAAAATATGGAATATTAGCTGCAACTTTATGCCATAATAATTGATATAGCATAAACACAAAATAGTTTAATTAAATTTTGAATGCAAGTCACTAAACACCTCATGACATTTCTCAGTAAATAATGCCCATGCAGATAGAGTTAAATAACAAATTTTTTATTGAAATAGTAGAAAAAATAAAAATTAAATATTTTATTTATTTTATTTTAGGAAAGTTAATATCAAGTTTCAAAAATTTCGTCCACTAGTTTCATTGTTGTAGAACTTTAATGAGAGTTACGTAACATAATTTCAAATTACGTAGGTCGTCGTCATAGAGCTAAAATAATTCCCTTAGCTACTCAATCTGAACGTGGTATTAACTTTTAATCTATAATCAAAACTGAAAATCTCTACTGAGAACAAGATAGCATTATATTTCATTCAGTAAATTAAAACTTGGTCTTTCTATTGGTTATAAATGATGTAATAGCAAAAATCAGAGAGAATTATTGACACTAGTAGGAAATAATCAAGATCTTTACACTTACACATTAATGTGTAACAATGCTGAAAAACTTTAATATGTAGTTTAATTTTTGTCAATTTAAAGAGACTAAAGCACTGGCAAAGGGTGAGTCTAGAAGTAAGGAGAGTAGTGCGTATATGTATGCTGGAAGATCAAATTGGGCTTATTACAAATTTTTTAATTTTGATATTAATTATTTTGCAAAGCACCAGCATGAGCTCAACATCAATGGTTCTTATACCACAGTTTAAAAATCTGTGCCTTAGTAATATCTATACTATAATGAGTAATTCACATAAAACTCAGAACAACAGAAAGTGGTGATGAATACAAACAGAAAAAGGACAAGTTAGAGCAAACAAATGTCATAATACACATGAATTAAAATATTAAACTTATATTAAAATTTTATTTATTAACTACATTTTGATGCTAAATTTATTCATATACATTAATCATAAAATTCTTTAAATAAATATTGAATGTTTCTAAAACTTATGACATGCACACTGGCCTACCTGTTGCAATAAGGTTTAAGTCTTAAAGCTGTTTCACAGACATGGTACTCAATGAAACTGATGCAATTTCGACAGTAACACTTTTGGAAAGTATGTATATAACATCTTTGATAGATTGTTTAGGCAGAGTATTCATAATAAAACTTTGTCGAATGGACAGCAACTGCCTGTTGTAGAGACAAAAGTGTAGAGGACAACGTTTCGAAAGTCTTCCGCTTTTTGTCTTCAGGTCAGTGTGTGCAAGGTGTTGTCAGTCTTTATAGTACTTTGGTGGTTTGTGGAGAGCATGTTATGACTGGTTGTTCTATCCCTGTTTCTGATTGGAGGAGAGATTTCCTGTATATTCAACCGATGGTAGACACAGGTTACTCACCTCTAATCTGGAATCTCTGTTTAGTGAAGATTCAATTGTGTTAATATAAAATAACAAAAAAGAAAAATTACCACAACTGTATACAGAAAACACATCCACATGAACATATACCTATGCTTCCAGTCATATCATCCAACCTCGATAAAACGTGGCATAATCCAATGCCTAAACAAGAGAGCAGAAAACATTTGTGATAAGACATCCATCAAAACAGAATGCCAAAAGATCATAGAGGGTTTTAAACAGAATGGTTACACCTCCTCCTTGATCAAAAACTCCCTGAAGAAGACCACAACAGAAATAAAAGATCATAGAAAAACTACCACTACTACCATTTACCTCCCCTTCCCTGCAAAATTTCAGTGAAAAACTCAAACACATAGCCAAGAAATTCAACATAGAAATCTGGTGGAAATCCTAAAAGACATTAAGGTCCAAATTTCGCGTTCCTGCAACGAAACATATATCGAAGAAATGAGAAGACGACTCACAACAAGAATAAAAGAACATAAAGACAGTACAAGGCTCATGAAAACACAAACTTCAGCTGTTGCAGAGCACACTGTGTCAACTGGACACAAAATAAACTGGGAAAAAACTAGAATCATCGACACAAACAAATTTTAGAAGACAAGAAAAATTAAAGAATCATGTTATATTAACACAATTAAACCTTCACTAAACAGAAATTCCAGATCAGGGGCGAGTAATCTGTGGCTACATTGGTTGAATCTACAAGAAATCTCTTCTCCAATCAGAAACAGGGGTAGAACAATCAATCATAACACGCTCTCCACAATCCACCAGGATATTATAAAGACTGACAACACCTTACACACACTAACCTGAAGACGAAAGACCTTCGAAACGTTGTCCTCTACACTTGTGTCTTTACAACAGGCAGTTGCCATCCACTCGACAGTTTCATACATAATATCACTTTTTCAAATGAATCATATTACTATATATTTTCTGGTATAATTAAAATATCACAAACAGTTTGGTAGTGTAAGAAAATGAAATTAAAATTATTTTCTTTTTATTTAAATGTTAAAAAAATCTCTTCTTTCCAACATTTTTATTAAAGATGGAAAGAAAGTAGTTGTCTGATTACACTGATAAAAGAAGTGAATCAAAGTAATTGGCTGACTGCAAGATGACGAGGCACTGCTTAGATTAGTTTATTCTTGTCAACAATGGATGTTTTAACACAAAGTAACCTATAAACCAACCAGAAAAATTAAAGAATTCAAATAAAGATTGATCAGGAATTGTATCAACCTTGTTTTTCAACAACCATGGAAACTTCTCTTCCCAATTATGTTAGTAATTTGTCAGATTTCTTGATTCCTGAAATCTCCAAATTAAGTATGGATTTTTTCTTGCTCAAACCATAAGCAATAAAGACAAAGGTTTGTATCACATCATATTATAAGCTTTAAAAGATATGTTTATATTAATAAACACGGTGGCCAGTATTCAATGGTATGCCATATCAGCACTTACCAGAAAATCACACATGTACCAGCACTTTTCATAACATTACAACCTACATCAACTCTTGTACATGTATTTTTGTACTGCCCCATCTCATAATATAAGCATTATTGTTTATAAAACCCTTTTTTATCATTTATCAAGCATATGAAAGTTATTTTTGTAATAATTTTCATGTCACCATTATCAAAGTTCACATACAGTTCTTATTGCTTTGTCATTCCATTTCCATTATAGCCAGTCAGTTGTGTTTAAGCACTAAGGTAGCACATTTGAGGTTAGTTAAGAAAAATGGATTGCTTTGTCGCTAAATGTCACAAATTATTCCCAGAGGAATAATTTTGTGATTCTACAGATGTTGAAGGTGGTGTAAAGACAAGTACAATGGAGTTAACATCAGATTAACTAAACCTACATAAATCTTCTTGCTGAAGGAAGGCATTGAGTGATGAAATAGCAACAATGTTTACTCACAACTGTGATCCTTATGAGTGAATATTTTCATAGTTACTGGAAAAAGGAACAGTAGTTGGAGAAAATAAAGGAACATGAGTGGTTAGTAGCAGAAAAAGATGGTATCTGTTGCCCAGAAGGCAAACCTCAGGCACAATGGGACCTCTAAAATCACAAGGACTAAAAGTTTTTCAAGAGTAGGTAGTGTAAAATGTGTTGTTTCAGCGATACTGAAGAAAAGTCAGACAATCAGGAAAAATATTTTTTATCACAAAAACAGGATAGCACACAAACAAGAGCAAGGAGATATATGTGACAGCTAAGAAAGAACAATTTGAAAAAGCAACTGCCCATCAAGAATCTGCATAGTAAAAAACACATGCTGTATATTTTGCATAGTATACACATGGGCAGAGCTGAATAAGCCTTTTACTAACTTACCTCTCCTTTTAGATATACAAATGGTAACAAAACAGACAAGCACTACAATCTGATCATTCTTGAGCTGATATTATAGATCACACAGAGCAATCAATACTGTAGCTGGATGCATGTTTTAGACTTGGTCCAAGTAAGTGATACTACTGTCAATACAATGCTATATATATCTCTGCAAGTTTTGTGTGATAATGAATTTACTCAACAATTCTTTTCATGAATTTTTGTATCTTCTTGCTACAGAGAATGCCTAGAAGATGTGATGAAAATTGAGTGTAGTGACTGCTGTTCCAGATATTTCCAGATGTTATCAAAAACCAAATTCAACTTCAACAATGTGACAGTGCATTGTGTATAAAATTATGTTACAGGATGTACACTAGGAATACACTAGATCGCACATGCTGTACGGCAAAAATTAAGCAGCTTCAGAAAAGCACTTTGAAAATGCTTCAGGACACAATGAGATATTCAAAACAATGGGCAAAAAGAGTTTCAAAGAGTATCTCATAGACATTTCATTTGTACTGAACATAAGTTTATTTTTTAATGCATTACTGGAATTAGAGGATCTTTCTTTAGAACTAGAGTAAAAATTATTACATTGATGCCCATTCTCTAGTTAGTAAAATAAAAGTGTCAAATTCTTGAATAAATGTCATAAAATCCTGGAGAACAACTTTTAATTTCCAGCAAGCTGTTTGTGACACAGCATACATGAGTGGTTTTGCCAAATAAGGTAAAATGGGAGATATCAGCTAAAATTAATTTTTCAGCTGTCTTTAAATGAAAATGGAAAAGTAAATACATAAAACTCACTCTTCACAGAGTGAGTCCAAGATGAAGATAAAATACAATCTTTTGAAATCTTTGAAAAATAAGCTCAGTAATCATGCAGTCTAGATATATATATTTTAGAGACATGTCAATCAAACACCTTTGTGCTTTTTTATAATTTATAAGGCTAAGGGGCAGTAAGTAGATATGAAGAATATGTCAGTAACATATCTGTACCTGCTGTTTCTGCCAGTTCTTTCAAGTACTTGGACCTTCTCTGACTTGACATCCCAAGATGTTTCAGTAGGCTGTATACTGATGTACCTGCCATGCCTCTTGATCCAACTTCTAAAGCAAATAGTCTTGTAATTTGCCCCTTGTCTTTGATTACTTTCATGGGCTTTTCTTATTTTGCTAACTTGTATTCACGATTTTCACTCATTCCTCATTCTTGTCTTGTAGGGTACGGTCAACCCTATTGCTACTATTGTTATGGTACTGTCAGAAGAAGAGACCCGATCAGGTCTAAGACCAGTGCTAGCAACAACTTATGGGTATTCCCTTCTGTCTCCTATGTCTGCTGCAACATCCCAGTCATTTGCCCCCCCATCAAGGATGTTCATTGTTGGAAGTGTATAAGGCTTGCTAATGGAAATTGGTGTTGTGCCTTCTCTGAGGAAGTAGGCTGAATGCACTGCAGTTGCCTTCTTTCTCTTGGCCCTAAACCAAGTAATGTCGACTGCCTCTGCTAATTTCTTAAGCACTTGTTTGTGTCTGCCACTTTCCAAGGCTTCTCTGTAGATGGATGGTACAGAGTTGAGGGTTTGTACACCTTCACACAAGCTACACTTTGAATCATTTGAGTGCTTCCATTTCACCAAATTGTTGCCTCTTGGCAACTGGTCGTATACTGACCTGATGATGAAACAATTGCAAGGGTACCATATGCCATATATAGTTCCATGACAGGAACCTCTGTTGGGCATTTTTCCAAGTAGTCCACTGACCTTGTTGTCCTTGCTTAACTGCTGTTTGGACTCACTTGGCATCCTCATCTTGTCTGATTTCATTGATCATTCACCAAATTTTGCATCTTTAGCTGATGCTTTCGACCACAAAGTTCACTTCTGTAGCACCTATTACTTCTTTCAACTTCATCACCTCTACTGCCTGGTTGGCTGCCTCATTCACCTTTCATTTCCTTCTTGTTTTCAGCTGAGGGTTGGTCTCTCTCGTACAGGAGTCCTTTTAATCTCTGAGCATCATTAGGAATCTAATCTTGCCAGTCTCTTACTCTTCCACTACTGACTTCAGAGGAAGAATCAGTTTTGCTTCTCTATAAAAGAGAACACCTGTGGTGAGACCTGGAGGTAATCCTAGCCATTTCCTGGTGAAGCAGTTGATCTTCCTTTCTATGCTTTCAACCTCACAAAGGCTGATATAATAAATGAGCAGCGGCCATAGCAGTTTGGGGATCAGCATGAACATCAAAACTCAAACTTTAAATCTGACCTGCAGCTTTGTCTTGTTGACCAACCCTTACTGGCTTCTTCCTGCACCTTTGCAGTTTGCTTTGTGTCTCTGACTGAATGGTCATACCATCTCTCCAGAATTTTTACAGGCTGTTCAGACACAGTTGGAATCACAGGCACAGCTGATCACCTGATCACTGACCTTCCCTTTGCTCAGTGACAGGCTTCTGGATTTGGCTGGTATGAATTTCATTCTGCTCTAGCTTATCAATGAGTCTAGGTGGGCAAGCATTTGGTGACTCTGCTCCTCACTGTTGCTGATAACAGTGGTGTCATCCATAAAAGCTTTCAGTGGAAGCATGTGTACACCATTCTCCAGACTGGCACTGTCTGCATATGTCTCTGCTGCTTTCAGTAGCACATGCATGGCCAAAATGAACAATAGTGGGAAGATTGTGCAGACCACTGCGATTCCGACCAGTAGCTCAGTCCAAGCTGTAGCATAAATTGCATCTTGAAGTTGCTGAAGTAGTACTTCATAATGTTAACCATGGACTCAGGAACATGATGCATTTCCAATACTTTTCAAATGAGGCTTAGGGCAATGACCTATATGCATTTTCTAAGTCATGCCAGATGGCATGCAGATCTAGCTTGTTGGTTTTTACACATTGGAATGTTTCCAATATCATAGACGCATGCTCTACATAGCCTGGGATTATGGGAACTCCTCCCATTTGAACAGATGTGTCAATGTTACCCATTAGTGAGAAGGTATATAGCAAGTCAGGCTGCTAACACTGAGAAGATCTCTACTTCTAAATTGAAGAGCAAAATTGGATGTAATTGACCTATTCTGACCTTTTGAATCTTGTTCCTTCGAAATGTAAACCCCATTTGCCACTCCTCACCAATGTGTTTGTCTCCAGGCACTAACAAGTACATTGCAGAAAAGCTGCAGAACCTTAGGACACTTCTTGTACACACAGAAGGTTATGCTATTTGGACAAGGCACTGACTTGCATTGTGCTTTCTTCACAATCCACAATATCTCATGCAGCTGAAGTGGCCTTTTATCAAACTGGGCTATTGGTGCAATAAACAGCAGTACTCCCTCAAAATCCTCATATCTACACTGATCTGAATATGTATAATGCAGATACTCTTCTAATTCTTCCGTGCTCATCTGTAGAGTTCCAGAGTGGGGCTGCTCAAACAGTTTCTAAGCATACTGGAAAGGGTTCTTGAAAAAATCCTGTTTTATCTTCTGCTATTCATGTTTCTTCTTTGTTCTTTCTGCACTGCAGAGCCAGATATGCCTCTTTTTCAGGTGATCCCAGATCTCTTGCAGAACAGCCTTCTCAAACTCTGCAGCTTTCTTCCACACTGACCTCCCCAGCAGCTTCAGATTGGGGAAGCAAAATTTCTCCCTTTGCTCTACCAGAAGGGGGGATTTGCATGGAGGGTGGGAGAAAGCTGGATAGGTGCTTGGATTAAAAAGAACAATTCACATCTGCATACAGTCCCATATTGATAGACCATACTGAGTTACCAAGACTAAAGACAGCAACCACTAGTCAGGTGAATGGGCAGTCACACACCTGGTGCTGTCTTGTTTTTCCATGTGTAGAATGGCCTGGATGAGAAAATTTATAAATATTGCTGAAGCAGTCTTGTAGAAAATTCCATCTTAATAGCAGGCACTAAGCAGGAGCAAGTGGTCTTAGCACTCTCTGTTATCCTCTATACGATAAAGATTTTGGGAAAAAAGTATTCTTTGTGGAGTAATATGAGCCAGTAGGGTCCACCTTCTCCAAGTAATATAAATTTAGATAAAAGAACAGTGATGAATGAGCTAGAAAAATAATACAAGAAAAAATAACAATACTCACCTCACAAGTCTCTCCGCAAAGACAAGAGAATGATGACTAGAGGGAAGTAAAATCCAGATGTAAATAAATCACTGTGTAATGTAAATAATGGGACACAAATGTGTTAGGAGTTATTCACATTTATTCACATGAGTTGATGAACTCAACCAGGCAAGTCTTCTCTGCAATCTGCAATAGCCAGCCCTATGAGGGAGGGTACACTGAGTTTTGCCAAGGGAACAAAGAAAAGGGGCAATCCTCAAAGTCTCTTAAGAACAGGGAACCTGTTTAGGTATCCAGGATCAGAAAATATGGGAAATAAAAAAAAACTAAACAAAGAAGAATGCTGACAAGCAGCTTCAGCTTGAGTTTCTGAAATGTAGGGCACTCTGCCAAAGGAAGGGAGGAAGATGGAGGTCCAAGGGATAAAACTAAGGAAAGAAACACCCAGAAGTTAGGCATCCAAACCAAGGAAATCCATAATTAAAGAAACCAAGTCAACTAGGACACAGCAGTGGAAGAAATGGAGGTCAAGGTGGCAAACAGGCAAGAACAAACTT